CTTGTTACATCGAAAAATGTACACAAATGAGGCTAAAGTCCTTTTATACAAAGTCATGGTTCGTCCAGTACTTGAATACTGCACAATTGTCTTCGGTTTCATGCATGGGTATGACAGGGTTCGTATTGAAAATATTCAGCGAAGTTTTACTCGACGCCTATTATACAAACATGAAGGACTGACTTACGCTGATAGGTGCAAAATGTATGGACTTCAGCCACTTTGGTTAAGGCGCCTGAAACTCAACCTTACATTCCTCTTTCGCCTTTTACACGGCTACACCAAAAGCAGTAATCCAATAGCTTTCGACAATTTACCCATATATACTCTTAGGAATCATGAAAATACTCTATCCATAAGCCGGTTCCGGACAAAACTGCGATCACGTTTCTTTAAAATACAGTACAGTGCATTATGGAACGAACTTCCACTTACTGTACGTAGTTGCCGATCTCCTACTGAATTCCAGCGTCTACTTAACGAGTTCCTATCAACAAAAGAGCTTCGGTCTACTTATCCATACTTTATCCATATGGGCCGCTCAACTAGCTTTAGTACTACAGACCCCAGTGCAATACCCCCAATTTGAGGAAACTCATTTGCCCCGGCAACCGTACCTCATCTATAACGTGATAAAACCAACCTAATCTCTCCCACATGCCTTTACCTAAGGTCCGGTTATTCAGCTTACTAGAGATCCTATCGATATTTCTTCAATCGGGTTTATAAACTCATTAGACTCTCCTGGATGTATAATCCCAAATTAGTTGTGATAGTTCTCCCATAATATAAGCAAACTGGTACTTTGTAATGTCTAAAGCATGCCATATGAAAAGTGGCCAGGAATACCTAGCAATAACAAACTCAACCAACCAACCATTTTCCCCAAGTTCATTCAACCTACCCTTATCCCTAATCGTACCACTATTCACTACACTCTACTCAGTAGAATATGACTTAATTTGCTCCGGTGCTCAAAACTCTTCTACCCTTTACTTTTTAAAAAAGACGTTTTAACTACTAACTGCACAGTAGCCATTTAACTAACTCACTGGTTTCCTCTTCACTGTAATCTTCAATAAGTTCGTCAGTATAATTATTTCCGAAAACCATTACATTAGCAACCATATCTTTTAATATTTTACGAATATACTTATATTATTAGCATAATACACTGCACTATTTTTGAGTTGAATTGATTATCTTCAGTCAACAGTTACCCATTCTCATATAATTTTCTAAAATTCATAATGTTAAAGCTATGTAGTATTTCTGTTAATATCTTTTATAATATGTTTAGACACGTTACTTTGCAATGTCAGATGTCTACTATATACAAGACTGTCATGATAATTTAGTACACTAAGTCCTGCCAACCGACCTTACCTTCAGTTCATACTACCTACATTGATCCCTAACTATATTGTTCTGCTGAATCTTGCTTCACTATTCACAAAACCTATTCTTTTTGCTCTTTAAGGTTTTAACTTCTTGTAAAGTAATCTGTTCATTAGGACGCATGCATACATATATAATGTTCATAAAGATGTATGTGGAGACCTATTGGAAGCACTCATTAAGAAAGCTAGGGAGATGGAATATGGGGTACGAACATGTCTGGTACCAAGCAGTATATTTGCGGTAGCCATAATAATCATAGTTTCAGAGCTTAACATCAAAAAAGGAGGGAGGGTGGCGTTAGCTGATCAGTAGATATGGTGGGGTCACTAAGGTGAATCGCCCCATTCTGCAGGAACAGCAATATACAAATTAAAGGCTCGAGATATTTCTGATTTTTATGAGGGCTTAGATCTTTATCTTGAAAAAGATAATAATGAACGCCTTGACAGATCATGCTTCTACCTTTAAATATATACCATTCGCTCAGCCTATTGTTGAGATGCGACCATGTGGGATCTGCACAGATTTATGGGGCATCTTATAAATCAACTTGCTGTCCATTGTCGGATCTTTAAATACCACTTCACAATGTCTTATTCATTTTCTAATAACGTCTTTACTTAATCCTCATTATATCCCATTAAACCTAACATTTTATAGCTCTTTATGAATTTGATTCGACTTATTCTATTCCTATTCTCTGTAAGGTACGGTTGTGCACCAAATGCACAAAAAGGCATAAAATATAAAAAACCGACATAAGGAAAAAATGTATTAAAACCAAAAGTGGACATCATGATAGTGCGAACTGTACAGGTAGCATTATACATTGCAAATGAACGTTGTCAGCCTAGGGAGTTTCCTTCATTAATGCATTTATTAGTGATACTTGCACTTACCCATTTCATTACACTTTATTGATTCACCTTAGCACTTTTACTTTTCTAAAACAGCTTTCAATCCCTTGTAAACGTTGTACTTACCTCAATATTGGTTGGTTATCGTATGCCGACAACCACGGGATGAAAACGAAACGAAGTCGATTTTCCCGCTCAACCTGGAGGACAATTGTACAATTCAATAACTATACAGCCTAGTTCAGACAATCAGTGTATTTATATATAATATCAAATATTTAACTGTTGAAAAATTATTAAATTGTAGACAATCTACGATTTGATATTATATCATACTTGATCGTGCCTGTAAAAATGGCATGCATTTTCATGTAAATTTGTATGTTTAAATGAGAATACACATTATTATTACTAATATAGTTGTAGATTTACACTGCCATTCTAATAGCTATTTAGCTACCCGTATATCCTCTATAAATGTATTTTAATTATATGCTACCCTTTATTTATGACTTTATTCAAATTTATTGCTTCCTAAAACTTTTGACTTCTCTGAAGCCACCGAATATTGGTTGCTTATCCGGCTGGCACAATTACTCAAAGAAAACGAAACTACATTCGAGATCTCGAACCAACCTTGGCGACGGCTTTATCGTTTAATGTAAGGTTTGAGCCGTTCTGATAGGGCAAGTTGAAAAACAACTATTCAGTCAGTCAAAACAATAAAATTTTATTGACCTTTAACGAAATGGAATTTTATCCTGTTTGACTGTCTCTTTAAAAATACCAAGCCTTCAATATAGATCAATTTATGTGCAAATATATATCATTATATGTTATAACTGAACAAAATGACCGGCAGTTAAAGAAATAATTAACTCAAACAGAACAGCTGCACAGCAGTCGAAGATGGATAAAACATGGTACAAATCACAAAAACGAAGAATAGAGTGTAAAGTATAATAGTGTACTTGACAGCACATTACCACGTGTAATTGAGTCAGTGAATCACGTTTCATCTTCTTCATGAAAAAACAGAGTTTCCTGGCTCCTATTCCTCGTTTGCTCATTGTGAGATTGGGGCTCCGTTTTCACTCTTTTAGTATTCCTGCACCTTATAGAATAGGTGTAGCAGCCCGCCATTAAGACCGTTGTAAACTACGGGTGGCATCCACTATCTCACAACTAGGCCTTAATATATGGAATATATTAAGTTGGATTTTTCGGTCAATGCCTTTGTAGAAAAAGTTGGTCTCGAAGGAAATAAGCGTTGAATAGGTTAAAAATGTCCACAAACTACAATATACACACTAGGCTGATGTAAGGCGATTTACCCTAACATTGAATGAATTCTGAGCGCCGGAAATCCATAGTTCTGGTGCCAAAAATATTAAAGGCCGTAGAAGACCTACTGGGAATTACAATGAGACTCGTCTTAGTTAAAACAACAGAGGTGGTCAAGTTCAACGTGTTTTCAGAAAGGATGTTTCCCGTGCTAACAGATTACTGTTGGCTTGAAGAAAATGGACAGTAAGTTGAAATCCACATACCTTAGTTCACTCGTTATTTGCAGACCTGATAACACCCTAGGACCGGGTCTTTGATTGGAGCTCACTTGGAGAGTAGTAGGTGAACCGCACGTGTTGCGCATGCAGAACGTCCACCATTGGGGCATAGTAAATAATTGTTGGTCGACTAATAGTTTTGGTTTTCATAAATGATCCTCCGATTAGCTTATACTATTCAAAAGTTCTCTGTGCTGATGATGTCAAGTTGTGAAGGGTCATGGGAATTGAGGAAAACTGGCTCAAGTATCTGAAAGACCTCACAAAACTGGGCCTCATACAGAAGGACTAACATTCAACTACAGGAAATATACAGTAGTGTTCTTATGCACGCTAAAATGACTAAGGTCATCTTACTGTTGATATGGAACCAGCCTCTCCATACAAAGAGAGAGAACGTGGATCTTGGCTACTACTAGAAGTAAAACTGGATACAAGAGCTAACTACTTAAGAGAGTCAGATTTAACTATATCTGGACTGTTCTTTGTTTATTCCACCTTTCTGCACTTTATTTTCATACAGCCTCGTCTTTATTTCTTCTGAGCTGACTTTCCTCTACTTACATATCTTATAATTAGACCTCTTGTCTTATCATCCATTTTTGTCTACTCATCCTCGTTGTTACTTTCCCAACCTTTTAGTTGCGCTTACTCTAGATTATCTTCCGTGAATCCGGAGGATTATCTAGTGAGAATAAATTGGGAGTTACCACAAGCGCCACCGCTATGGTGGAAACCATATATTCCCTCGAAATTAATTCCATTTCTCTACGCTTATTGCATTTATCTGAGCTACACTAATAAAGAGGATGGATTCTCTACTCCATAATCCTCAAGATATATACAGATGTTGCTAAACAAGATAAAATGAAGGTCAAGAAATCAAAATGTTCCATAGTAGCTTGTCACAAATTATATTGGATATTGAAATCAGGTGTTTGACCGCGCAGATGCTATGACCACATTTAATTGTTGAAATTCTAAAGGCATATCATGTGTTTCCAGGGTCATTTTACACGGTTTGTAGTGGTCTGCCGTGAATTATACTCTTAATTCTATGGGTAAGTCTGTTTTACATTTTACACATCTGGAAATCCATTGGTTAACAAAAAATCGTTCAATGCAGCATTCTAAGATTTTTAATTACGTTCTTTTCAATATGTTTAAGGTACTGAAAATGTCTATAAATTCTGCCTTAAAGCTGAAATTGGACGAACTTTTCCTGAGATGGATAACGGATAGAGCGACGCAGAAAGTTCTTCGGGAAAATCTTATACAGGTAAAATCTCAGCAACCTATTGAAGCAATGCTGGCAATGCCCAGTGGCATAGTAGTTGGACCAATGTCTGCGTCTTTGTATGGATATTTTTATGGGCCAGCTCAGTGTGAGTCACCAGTGCCAAATCTCGAAGGTTCATGTCACACTGCACTGACGAGCATCAACCATCACAGTTATATAACGTCTCCACGACCGAACACTCCTCCATACTTTCCACAGCCTCCTTACTCGAAAATGTGCAGTCCTCGATCTCCTCGCCGTCATTTGTCGACCCCGAGTAATATTTCTGTTCAAGCTGTGAAAGTGAGTTGTTTTTGTTTCATGATCTAAGTAGTGTTTTTGTCATTGTGTGCTTCTATTGTAATCACACATGGTCTAAAAGAAACTTCAGTAGTCACCCCTACCGATGTTGCCACGAAATTTGAGCAGTTAATTGGACTTGCGACAAAAGAGTAATAAATTCGTGATAAAGATTACCATGGGTTATAATGTTTTGAGATTCGTCATTATTTCTGATTTTGTTCTCTAATATAACAAAATCCAAATTCCAATAGATCAGATATGCTGTCGAACTCTCCTCATATGTACATGTCTTAGGGACTCCAACTAGTTGATTATTCGAGCGGTAATCATTCATTAGAACTCGTTAAGCAAATCCGAAACAAAGTACACCACATGTACCTCCAATTGATTGTCGACGGTCATGTACTGGGGTTGGCCTTTATACTTTAACTTCGCTTAGACGTGATTACTGTCTTTAAAGTCACTGTACTTTCTCGAACAGCACGTGGACTAATGAGTGGTGGTCACTGACTGGTGAAGCTGGCTGTGGCTCACTTACTGGCGGGTTTTTAGGAGGAGGATCTCGAGACTAGTACATAACACAACCGTATACCCTAAGAACTAAAGAAGTATGAAGAAATGTAGTATTTATAAGGAGTTAGAGTAGTAAGAATGGATTATCTAGTTGCGGAATCCTGATTGCCCTAGCCAAATAGACTGCACTTGTGTGACAAGTCAGTCGTTTCTGACTTCGCGGGTTAATCTCCAATCATAATTTGGTTGTTTTGGATGCTTTCCAAAATAATCCCATTCTAGACGATATTTCTGGCGAAGAAGGGTAGTAGGTAATGTGACAACCAACTCAGATAATGAAGCGTCACAACCACATCAGCTGACTTATCTCAAACTCTGTATTGTCCAGGCATTTTCATCCACTTTAGTCCGACGTGAAAATACATATAATCAAAAACATACATTCTTTTCATGTTGCCTGATTTAAAGTCTTTGTATCACGGTTGATACAAGTCAGTGAAAGCAGCTCATGCAAAAGTAGTGTTAGTAGGTTTGGGTTTCACTATTCTGTGTACTGAAGTTTGTGGTGGCCTGTAGTGAAACAGTTCAGTAAGTGTAAGAGTTACCGTTACTTCGAAGTGATCTCACTTATCACTTCTGACATCTAAAATGAAAGTGAAAAATACGGAAAGTCTAGCAATCTTTGATCATAGCTGACATGAGATTTTGTTGGAAAAGTTACAGATGATCAGGCCAAAACCTGGGGTCACCACGTGTTTTTTCATGTTACTATTCTTTCTCCCTCATTTCTGTTTATTATAATACTTCTCAGTCTCTTTTCGGTCTTCTGTCCAATTTTGTGTGCTGCATGGAACATGGCAGCTTGAACTAATACTTTTCTGTGTTAAGCTCTATGCTGAAACAGTCAGTTATACCTGCTTATCAGGTAGAAAGTATGGGGGAAGAGAAAATAAATATGAATATTATATGTCGAAATTAGAGACCAATATAAAACGATGAAATAAAAGCGAATAGAGTAATAGGATGCTACATTCAAGATGAAGATTAAGCCTAGATGCTTCTGTAATGTTGCAGTTGATCACAAACTTTATATTATACAGTTCATAGGCAATTGTTGTTACATGAACTTCGGGAAAGTAAGCTACGTCTTCCCACATGGATTAGACCATCAACCAATACGTTTATAGATTATCACAATGTTTCGGTCTGATAACCCCAAACTCTCTTCTGACATAATCTTACTTCATCTAGCATATATGTTTTGGGTAGTTGGTGTTCATGCATGTCTGCACCTTAAAATGTTTGCTCAATAAACCTATATCATCTACGCACTCCAAATCAACTTATGTATTTCCTGTGAGAAAGCCAGCTGAAGAAGTCAGACTTAGAAATAAAGACTCGTATAAGCTTGTTTCTTGTTGAGTTTTTGCGAATACCACTCGAGAGAAACGTCTCATGGAATAGTTCACCATTGGCTTGAAAGTGACCACAACTGTTTGGTCATTGAGATTTATGTAGGAGAAAATTAATAGAACCATTGGCTAAAGGTTATGTCAGAGGAGTGAAAAAAAGCATTACTTCCATTTCCCAAATAACAAGTGTGTTTAGAAACATGTTACCTGATCTAGTTGTATTGACATACATTTTTAAGTGATAAAGTTGAACAGGTCATTTTCTGATGCCAATCCCCATATGTCTACTTATAAGTAGTTAATGTTAATTCATGTAATTTTTTTGAGCTTTCTCTATACCATAAGATTTTCTAAATAAAATTGCGTTCTCTTTGTAAATTGTGCTGCAGTAATTCTGTAAGTGTGGTGGGAATGATTTTTTGATTACATGTCACAATATTATTGAATTGGATTTACCGTTGGCTGTTGAATGCTTCATCTCATGTGTGGGTTTTAACGCATGTTTTTGTACTATCTACTGTCATACTAGTATTTTAATTTTCTTCTCGCCTACTATTTGTGTTGTGGATGCATTTGGCAACTTTAATTTATGTGATTATGTGCATGTTTTTAGCAGTACTTTACATCCCTACATTTTACACAATAAATGTATCCTTATTGTCTGGTTCAAGATTTGCTTGCAACTAATAGGTATAATTTTCCGTCTTTCTTCGCCTATATTATCATTATATACTGTCCCCTTGGGTTCCGCATGGGACAAAGAATTTCAGTGCCACACCTCCACTTTGTCATATTCCCCGTGGTCTTCATCTGACGCCACGATTGCCCATAGTCTCTCCTTCATATCACGCCCAACTCGTCTGCCATTTGGGTTCCATTCGCGATTGTGCCTGGCGCGCGATGTCACCCAACGGTCCCATCAGCGTGTGTCTGATCCATCTCCATTTTCTTCGGGGTATTTGCTGAGCAATAGATTATTGGTTGGTTCTTTCCAAGGGCTTCTTGTTCCTAATTCTTCCTGGCCATTTGATCTTTAATATTGGAGCGAAGAGCAAATGGTGATGGTGAAATATTATATCTACATTTTCGTCCCTCCTTGCGTTCTGATTGAGACATAAGGCTCCAAGGCTTGATGTTTCACTGGTGGTTTTGTTTTTGTGGGATAGGATTGCTAGCCTTACTCCCAATCTTCTCTTTTTTCTTAGACTTATTATCGGTCGGTGAACTAGGCGATGTTTTGTGAGTGCTTTGGCCGAGAGTCAAACTCGTAACCTCGCATGGTTGGCACATGACAGATGCATGAATTTAATTCGAGTGGGCCGTTTATATATGACTCTGTTATGTGTAATGCATAATGACTTATAGAACTGAATGGAAACACTGATTAATTATGTTTGTAACAGCTAATATATTGCCTGAATGCAACTTCTCAAGGTGTCTGTAAATAGTCATAATTCGATAGTGCTTCGCTTGCACGGTAGTGATTTGTCTGTTGTTTGAATATTCGAGGCTTTTGTTTATATTAAATGTTTAGTGGCTTTCCTGCATACCTTTGTATTGGCCTCACTCCTCATGGAATGTTGTGCATCGTGTTGTTATTGTCTTACCAGCTGTTGTTTTATACAGTTATTTACAAGCTTTATTTTCCACTTTAGAACGTTCTTAAACTGAGAGACAAGTCAAATTCTGTCTTGTGTGAATTTAATCATTTTCATAAATATAATACTTTTACCCATACTCAACTATTTCCTCCTTTTGAAAATCTTAGTTACAGAGAAAGTTTAGGTGAATTGTGATAATTAGAAGCAACAAATACAGCAAATGAATAGAAATTAAAAATAGCCTAATTATAGTGGCTTTTAAAGATTGGAGAGGACTTCTTGATGTGCCGATTTTAAAATGCGTTTTTTTGTACCAACAGTGGTAAAGTTTAAGCACCGTATTTAGATTTGATGCAGCAGGTTTAAGTTTACAGTGATATTCATAAGTAAAATAAGCCGACTCATAGTCTTCAACAGGCTCTTTTTATAGTAGTGATATAGGATAACTGGAGTGAAATGGTGAGATGTAAAATGGAGTTTAGTGCGACAGTAGAGCGGTTTCAGTTGTCAAACTTCTATTTCAAGTGTGAAGTAACGTATTGTAAATTTCATATGTTTTACACAATATCGCCCTAGCATTTCAGTCTTATCAAAGCGCATCCGTTTCCGATTAGCGCAACTGAGTCTCATCTGGAATTTAAGTTTGTAGTGAATGCTTTTCGGTTATTGCTATGACAAAACGTTTTGTAGTCACATGTTAGAATAAGTTTTCGTTTAGTGAGTACATTTTATGTGTCGCAGCCCTGGGTTTTGGAAACATATATATATATATCTTATTTCACTGCGTTGGCGGCACAGCGGTAAATGCTCTCCAACCACCCATGTGGTCCGCAGTTCGATCCCCAGTCGATGCACTCCTTTACCTCAATAAGCCAGTAATAAGACTGGTAAAGAGGGAAGGTTGAGCATGAGGCTAGCAACCCCATCCAGCAAAAATACCACTGCTACCGCAATTTCAAACCTCTAGCTTGAATCCCTATGTTTCAATGTGAAAGTAAAGGAATAAAAAAATACTTTTACTATGTGTAGTGAATTTTAAGTGGTCTTCGCACAACCTGTTGACAGAAGGTTCCGGGCTTACTAAACATTTGACTGTACTTTGATCATCCCTCCCATCTTCCTTTCTCCTATTTATTCTTGCCTAAGGTTTGTCTGTCAGCAGTAACGACGCTGCAGCATATACTTTATTGATCTTTATTCAATAAACAGTCATTAGCTTCTCTTTATTTCATGATAGCTACATACTGAACCTTATGAATTATTTATTTCAGACTTTTTTGCTAATTTATGGTAATGGGATGTGTGGTAGAGCTATATACCTTCTTTTTATGACTTAGTAGGGAAATCTCGTTAACCTGCCTTTCAAAGAAATAAGGTGCATTATTACTGATAATAAAAGTAACTAAAATAAAATGACTAATCCACACTCGCCACATATAACTTGACATATTAGACTGAAAAGTGTGTTCTATAC